CTGGAGCACTCCAGACGACCCCAGTGGGGGACGGGAACGCGGGGACGCGGGGCCCTGCGGCGCCGGGGGGCAGAGACCATGTAAAAGGTGAGTGGACCCGGCATTTGGAATGGAGGGACTGACCTAGAGACCTGTGTTTCGGGAGGGGTTCCGGAGGAGAAAGGGGTTTTAAGGAGTAAGAGGGAGTCTGCCGACGTCTAGGGACGAGAAAAAGAAAATGGGGTACCTGGGCTTAGGCTCCCTGCGCAGCTCAAGGCCAAACGCTTAGTACATGAGTCTATTGAATTCAGTTGAAAGAAGGAATAACACCGGCTTATTGACGATTGCAAGGTTGATAACGATGCTAGCCAGATCTGGAAGGAACTTTAGCAATGGTTGCGTTGTTTTTACAGATGAAGATACTGAGGCTCAAGGTCGGTACGTGACTTTGAACCTACAGAGTCTCAAAACCAGATTAGTAGCAAGGTCTTGATCTTCTAGGTGCCACTTCCTCGTGCAGGAACACCTGGATTTGAGTCCCTATTTTGTTATCTACTTGGCACCTTGGACTTGTTAACTTTAAAAAGCTCAGTCTGAATTGTGAAATGGGAATAACGTATCTGTTTAATCGGTTGATGCATAAGTTAAACGAAATAATTCTCATAATGCTTGGCTTATATAAAGTGGGGTCTAAGTAAATGTTAAGTACAATTATAGTTAAGGTCACTCATTCCAAAGCTATTTTCCCAATACACCATCCTATAATTTCTTAGGCTTTAAATATTATCGTAAGGAGAAAGTACCTAGAAACTGAGTTGATTCCATCTTGTTATGAAGTTGTGCATTGCTTTTCAGCAGTTCAAATGATTAAACTCTTTTAAGTTAAAGTGTTTCTAACATATGACCTTTTAAATGGTCAGTAGCTCCCTCACACTGGTATGTTCCACCAGTAAGATGGCTAAGGAGTTTTTTTTCAAGAGTGTACAATGGAAAATGTTAATGTATTTAAAATAACTTTAAGTGTTTTCAACAGTCTAATTTGACTCAGTAAGCTTTGGGTATTTTTTCCAACTTATAGACATGGAGTCTAATAACTTTATATAAATATAAAAAACTTAGAAATGTTATTAAAGTGTAATTTTGCTCTAAATTAAAGGAACTGTGTTTTGAAGAGTACTGCTGAGAGTAACTCTAAGAAAGATTTTCATTTGGCTTGAGATGGTGATCAGTATTTTTTTTTTTAACCTGAAGCTATTCAGAATATAAAACCTTGAAACTCCCAAGGTACTTTTAAAATGATTTATCTTATTATTAGAACAATACATTTGGCACACTTACTCTTTTTATGATGCTATGGAATGACCTGCAGAATGTAAATCTCAGAAGACAAAGGGAAGAAGAGATGTGAAAACCTGCTTCTGTGGAGAATAGGGGTTAGATAAGTAGGGAGAAGAAAAGGAGATGTTGGGCTTGGGAAACAGTAGACTTAAAGGTCTGTGTGAATCCTTTATGCGTGTCAGTGAAGAGATAAAATTGTCACTAATGAATGGTTTCTGTTGGGTTATAGTAGGAGATCAAGGTCCTATTCTAAATGGTGTGAGATTACACTAGGCAAGGAAGTTTTTTGATCCAACCTGTTTTATTGATGAGTCCCAGATTTTTTCTTTTCCTTCTTTTCCTCTTTTTCCTTTTCTTTCTCTAATTACCATTAGAGTTTTGTTTATAGGTAAAAGATTTTGGGGACCTCATGTATGATGGGGTTTGGTTTACTTGCTGATGCATTAGTAGCTACTTAGCAACCGATTTTCCAGGATTTGAAGACAGCATTTTAGTAATTGCAGTTGGTAACTAGACCTTCAAAAGAAGGAAAGGTTTTGAAGAAGAGATAAATTTTTTCTTAACTCTTAATTTTTTTTTTAGCTGTAGATTGACACAATGCCTTTATTTTGTTTATGTATTTGTTTTATGTGGTGCTGAGGATTGAACCCAGTGCCTCACATGTACTAGGCAAGCGCTTTACCACCGAGCCACAACCCAACCTCCAATTTTTGTAACCCTTGCTTAAGAAAGACATAGTAGGGCTGGGGCTGTAGCTGGGTGGCAGAGAGATTGCCTAACACATTTGAGGAACTGGGTTTGATCCTTATCACTGCATAAAAATAAATAAAAAACGGGCGGGGGTTGTGGCCCAGTGGTATAGCGCTTGCCTAGTATGCATGAGGCACTGGGTTCGATCCTCAGCACCAAATAAAAATGAAATAAATAAAGGTATTAAATACCTTCATTATGTCCATCAATTAAAAATAAATAAATAAATAAAATAGGGGCTGAGGATATAGCTCGGTTGGTAGAGGGCTTGCCTCACATGCTTAAGGCCCTGCGTTTAATCCCC